GGCGGCTGCGGCAGCCAGCCTGGCCGCGCTGGCCACCATGCTCCCGGCGGCCACCACTCTGGCCGCGGTCTGTACGCGTCTGCATAAAAAATTCAATATAAATTTACAATATGTTTCATTAGCTTTTGGCCTCCTACAAATACATGCAAAAGAATATTCTTACCATTTCCACCGAGTGGTTCCATATTTTTATTCTTCTTGTTTTTCTTTTCTGAAAAAAGAGAAAGAGATTATTTAATTAATATGCTATGGAAAATGCCGTGATAAATATTAAATGAAATAAGTGGAAGAATAAATAGAAATGTCGGAGACGTACTTACCGCTACCACGCTTTACGCAGAAATGATTTTTGTTTCGTGCCCCTATCCGCAATATAAGCGACACGCGAAGAAATCATCCCCACCACCAGGAATAAGGAGGGGGACCCCAAAAGGAGAGGGAAAGACCCATCGACACATACGATAAACATTGGGGACACTATACATGAAATTGTAAAATAGAAATGACTTTTTTTACATATAACTTTCACCAACATATTTGTAACATTGTTCGGATTAAAATGAGACTAAACACGGTGTAATTTGAATTATATTTACTGGCAATATCTTCTTGTGGTAAAGTCATCGATGTACGCTCAACATTTAAAATGACAAATAAATATGTGCTGAATTACACCGTGTTTGGTCTCATTTTAATTTGAAAAATATTGCAAATATATTGGCGAAAGTTTTATTTAAGAAAAATTAAAAAATAATTTTAAGAAAAAAAAACGCCTACTTCAAAATGCACTAAAAAGTGTAAAATAATTTCTGTTTCCTAATGAAGTAATTTCTATTTCATTCAATCATACAATTACGTAACAGATATGAATATAACCTATTTACTCGTTAGGTAGTATGTTAAATACATTTCAACCTTTTCGGAGATGGCGCAAAATTAAAAGATTTTTTTGAACATGTCAACCTTTGGACAGCCGAACATAGGCAAAGCTTGTATAGCTATTTTCTTTTCATTTTCAATTTCAATTTTTTTTTCTTTTTCATAGAGTATGCGACGGAAAGACTCAATCGCCGCATATACTATAAAGATAGAGCCCATTTGCCGCTTTTCTTAGATCCCTGGCTTCCACACGTGAACGAAGTCGATTCAATTTCATTTATATCAGAAACGTTGCGAAATGAAGATGCAGTCGTTACATTTACGTATATTACCAGATATATCTATAATGGTTCGTATTCTTTCTCAGGATTTATTAATTTCCAATACACCATACCGCAATCAACTGGTTATTGGCAGTAACGTTTACTGAGGTATTTTGAATTTTGCGCCGCCTCCGAAAAAGTTGAAATGTATTTAATATAAATAGGTTTAATTCATATCTGTGACGTAATTGTATGATTCAAAGAAATAGAAATTACTTCATTAGGAAATAGAAATTATTTTATACTTTTTACTGCATTTCGAAGTCGGTGTATTTTTTTTCTGAAAATTATTTTATTTCACGCTTTTTAGTGGATTGGGGAGAATTGTATAGGATACTGTGAGACAGTTCTTTTTTTTCTTTTTCATAGAGTATGCGACGGAAAGACTCAATCGCCGCATATACTATAAAGATAGAGCCCATTTGCCGCTTTTCTTAGATCCCTGGCTTCCACACGTGAACGAAGTCGATTCAATTTCATTTATATCAGAAACGTTGCGAAATGAAGATGCAGTCGTTACATTTACGTATATTACCAGATATATCTATAATGGTTCGTATTCTTTCTCAGGATTTATTAATTTCCAATATGCCATACCATAATTTATTATTTTTAATTTTGCGCCGCCTCCGAAAAGGCTGAAATGTATTTAATATACTATCTAACGAGTAAATAGGTTTCATTCATATCTGTTACGTAATTGTATGATTGAATGAAATAGAAATTACTTCATTAGGAAATAGAAATTATTTTACACTTTTTAGTACATTTTGAAGTCGGCGTATTTTTTTTCTTAAAATTGTTTTATTCGAAGTCGGTTAAAAATAAAAAAATTTCATTCTTACATTAGGATTGTCCAGCCGAGATGTTATTGTTTCTTTGCGCTTGGTGGTGTCCTTCACTCGCTGTCCTTTTCTACGTTCGGCACACGTGTGCTCAATGTAGGATCTGTACGATGTATGCAACACTTGACACCCAACAGATGTGTAGATATCGAGTATTTACAGTATACAACTTTTTTATTTTTTGTTTGTTTGTATTGTTTACTTTCGCTCATTGCTTTCGATCATGAGCTATTTCTTTCCGTGGCAACGTCAGTTTGTTACAGGCGAAGCTGTTAGAAACATCGCCAAGCCTTTAACAAACAGTTCGCGTGTATTCACGATATAATATATCGTTTATTTATTTTTATTTATTTTTATTTATTTATTTATTTATTTATTTTTTTTTCATTGAGTTTTTATATTTTTTAATATTTGATTACACAAGTGGAAGTAGTGCACAGTGAAAATGGACAAGAAAAAATACCAAAACAAGAAGAGTGCGCGATCAGGTAGAAGGACATCCCTGCGAAACAGAATTCAGGCGCTACATCGAGCGGACACCGCATCACAAGCAAGTACATCACAATTAGAAATTGTATCAGGTGCATCAAGTAATGATTGCTATTGTGTTTGGGCGGGGAGACCAATGAACACTTTTGTAATACTTTTAAATAACAATTAACTTTATTTAATATGGTGTGAACGAGACGTAGGCAAAACGTAGAATGACGCCCACGTATGGCCGAGCGGGACGACGCGGTGTAAAAACAATTGCCGATCGAATTATCGCGCGGTTTTCGCTCGGTACCGTTCGGTTGTCTCCGGCGATCTTCGGGACCGCATCGCGCAGTTCGCTCGTGGGACTACTTCCCCAATCGCGTATATAACGCGATTACGCGTATCGCGTATCGCGTATATATTGCAATGTGTCTGAATTCTCCGACGACAAAAGTAGTAATATAAATTTAATAAATAACAGTAATAATAATAATAATAATAATAATAATAATAATGATGATGATGATGATGATAATGATAATAATAATAATAATAATAATAATTTAGTAGAAATCAGCGACATTGAAAATTTATCAGAAAACATTTATCCGGACGAAACAGACGTTAGAAATACTGATATATTGACATTGCAATCAGCACCTGATGCATGTAGTGAAGCATA